GAAAGAGAAAACTTTTTGGAAGGAGGGATCTGTATGCAAACCTGAGATGTAACTTGGGTAAGAGGATTTTCTGCAGCCGTTGTATCAAACAGTACAGAGACTTCTTTTTATAACTGAAGGTTTGTGTGTGAACTAGTGATTGCTGACATTGTAAAATGCTATCACTAATACAAACTGACATCTCGTAGCCGTAGCTTCATATTTATGGTGCAGACATGAAACTGGTTTGAAATTTGACATGATGCATTCATTCCTTATAATCACATACACTTGAATACACTCACTATAGACCTGCATATACTTTAATTTGACTGTCAGCTAAGTTTGCAGGATTTGTTGTAATTTAGGATGAGACGAAAGACCCTGAAAGTACATTTACTCCACATTTTACATTCATAAACTTTCAAAGATTCAGGGTCAACATGCTCTTTAAAAACCTTTCAGAAACTGCTGAATCTTTTCATGCATTTCCAAACACTCTAACACACTAATATTAAAGGATCTCCGCTGGGAAATAACTACAGTCCTTGTGTGATTAAAACATTGCAGAGACACCATGAAATGTCTACGAGGTTTTTTTGCAGTTTCCTCAGGAGGGAAATGGGCCGGTAGTCGCTCTGCACCAGGATAATGAACTCATCTACTAATCTCTGTGATCTGAATGTTAATAACGATGAGGAGCACTTGGAGGGAATGCTCCGTGATACAAAGCTAAACTGCAGAAACTTTTTAAACGAGTGAAGACATGAAGACAATGAGAAGCAGCCTCGCTTTATGCTGACATGTTTATCTGATCGTACAACGTTTGGGTCTAACCGACCTTCATCAGGTGTAGCCTACATATCTTTTAAAAGATTTGTAACAATGCAAGAACTAGAACAATAAAGTCAACCAAACTTTTATGACTCACACTTGCAGTGCACCCTACACAGCCCAACGCTCACCAATTGCAAATTTAAATGGCTCGAATTTGTTACAATAATTCATTAAAAATTGCATTTTTTTTGGACTTTGTGTTTCTGTAGTTGCTGTCTGTGTTTTTCCTAATGTACATTTTTACAGGTTGGTTGTCCTTGACTGCCACTGTAGTTTTTGTATGTCAAAAGTTTATGTCAAACTCAGCCCCTTAAACGCTGAGGAGCAATATCACATGAAATGAATTCATCTTCAGCATTAGAACACATGTTCACAGTTGATAACACTGAGAAATGCTCCAGAAATTAAGACCTTAAATGTGATGTCTTTGGGGTCCATGTGCTGCTGCAGTGGACCCAGAGCTCCCACATCCTGCTCTCTGCTGCCACCTGCAGGCACAAAGAGGGAGGACGTGAACATGCTGGACTTGGATCCCAGTGGAGCAGCAGCTGAAAGGCCGTCTCTGTGTTTGAGCTGTTTTCACTTCCAGGTCTCCTCCACAGACTCACAATACCCTCCTCTATTCCCCCACCGGCTGATCCACTTCAACACTGAAGAGCAGGGAACCCTCCTGTGTGTTCATAAAACATGAAGGCCGCTGTGTTAAAGAAGTACATTTTGTAGACGGTGTCAATGTGCTTTTTGTCACAGCAGCTGAGAAATGAATTGACAGGTGAGAATCCTTTTCAACCTTTGTCCAGCAGATGGCTCCGTTTCTTTATTCTTTCTTTATTGTACCTGCAGTTTACTTGAATACTTCCATTTGTTACAACTTACTATTGAACATAATAAACAAATAAATACTGATATTGATGCATGCATGAGATTTTATTATCCTTCAGGAGCTAATTCACAAAAAAATACAATTTATTTTAAAATGTAAATTGTGGGTTCTTAAATTATATTTTGATGCAAAGACTTTGAACTTGATGTGACAGAATATAGAATTCAATTCCTATTTTATAGAATAGAAGTGATTGTACCCGACCTAAAAAGCCTCTGCATGTTTCTAATAAGCTCCACGAGCAGAAACGTGCTCAAACTAGGATCAATATTGGAGATGCTTTTGAAAAATGGAGAGAGGTTAGAACACAGAAAGGTTTACAGACCCATGCAGAGCTGGATAAACACTGAAGCTTCAGAGTCCACCACATGGTGACCTGAGTGAGCATCCACTCTAGAGAGGAGGGGGGAAGGGAGACAGCTTTACAATGTTTAGAATCTGGACTGCAGTACCCGTTTTAAACACTAGGAGTCAGAGTTACATACTGCTCCTTTAATTATAGAGCTGACAGCCCTATAGATGCAACACTGGTTAGCTTTGGCCTGTTGGTAATCTAGACTTAGCTATCTGTGCGATCACTATGTGACATAACTGCATACCTCACATGTTCAATGTGTCGTAGGTGAGTCCGTCCCCTTTGTACAAAGAGTACTCAGGTAATCAATGACAGAAAGCACTAAATACAGAAAAGATTAGAAACGTTTCACTGAACTGGTCTTTGAGTGAAAAACTTGGAGATTAATAACACAGATCTAACTGGGCTGCAACAAAAAAAGTATAAATTATCAGAGACTCTGCAAATTAATTTCTTGATAAATTAATGAATACTCACCACATATTTTCCTGGGAGCTGCTGATCTGCAGTTGATCCCATCTCCCTCTATCCCATGTTTCCAGCCCCTTGCAGTTTCTGCAGATGTCTGTTCATCATGAGTCAGTTTCATCTCAAGGTTTCTGCCTCTTAAAAGGAAGTTTTTTCTTGCCTCTGTAACTTTTGCTAAATGTTGCTCAGTGCTCATGATGGATTAACGTTTGGTCTTTGTAATATAAAAAAAGAGTAAGTCCTTTTACCTGCTGTTTGTAAAGTGTCTCGAGTTAACATTTGTTGTGACTTGTTGCTACACAAATAAAGATTGACTGATTGATTTATGGACGATATTTGAGTGCAAAAAATGTTTATTTTTTTTGTAGAAATCTCCACATAGAAACATACAGTGTAATGATATAAGTTGGGAATACAAGTACAAAATGGAACATAAATGATAAAAAATCAAAAACAGACATGAATGAAAATAACTTCTATAAAACAAAAGTTAAGAAGTCAGGGGCCAATATAACAAGCAGGCACATTTAGTTTAATTTACATTTACAATAAAAAAAAAAAAAAACATAAATTGTGAGGACAAATTTGATACCTTTATAGTTTTTGTCTGAAGTTATTATTTTAATATATTTACAGTTTCTTTCTGAAAAGTGAGAAATTTAGGTTTTTCTTTGGTAAATTCACATTTATGAAGTTAAAACTCTTCTAGAAATATAATGAGATCTATAATAAAATGTGTATTCATGTGTTTCACATTCAAATTCAAGTGGAAAAAAAAACATATTTACAGAAGAATTCAAAAATAACAAATAAATTCTCAAATATTTTGCCATAATTTCCAACAATGAACACATTTCCAGAATAGATGTGTAACGGTGTTGTTGTTTAATATTTGCCTCTCAAACGTGTTTGACGTGAAATAAGAGAACAGGAACCTCAGATGTTGTTTTCACAGAACAATACTCGAGTTAATTTATTTACTGGAGCAGAAAAAACAGAGTCAAGTGTCCCAGTTCTCGTTGTCTGAGAGTCCGCGCTGCCTCCCATCAGACAATACAACGTCACAGTCAAGCCCCGCCCCCTCCAACCGCCTCCATCACTGCATGCCCGAGGAAGAGAGAACGTGCTTTCACTACGTCAAGACGCAAAAGCTGAGCGCGAAAAAACCGGAAACGGATGATTTTTACATCCAAAATAAAACAGAGTAAAAAAAGCCATTTCCATAAATTCAACTGATTTTTAAGCGATTTATTACTTAATTAATCTATAAAGGGTATCATTTTAATTTATATTTGAGTATAATATTAATAATTATAATTTTATAACACCCTTTTGTTTGGTAAAGTGTTTTACCTTAAACATAAAATACAAAGCTACTGATGTGCCAAAAAGAAAAAATAATTATCTTGTATGCATAACTTAATATATTGTGAGCACAAGATAATTGTTGACACTGTTTGTGTTAAAGGCTTGAAATAGAACAGTGTTTTTCAAAGTAGGGGTCTTGCTCCCTAAAGGGGTCACCAGCAGGCTCTGAAGGGGTCATTGAAACTTGGAGGGATCAGGGGAGAAAATGGAACTAGAATAAAAATCTAATAAGAGTCTTATTTGAGACAAAAACTAACTATTTTTTCTTGAATTTATCCTCAAACAAGTAATTGATTCATGTATTTTTAGATGGTATCACTATTTATTGAAATCTGTGTCCTTTCCTATGACAATCTTTCAATTTAAATATTACACACCCCAAAAGACACATTGAATAACAAGAGAGAAAATGTCTTAAAAAAACAAACAATTTTTAAAAGTTTGATTATCGTAAAGACCGTAATTATAAAACACTTTTTAAGGTGGCATTGAATTAAATGAAGGAATATCAAGAAAACTGACTGTAAATACAAAATAAGGAAACATATAAAAAATGTGTGTCTGAAGTTCCTTGTAATGTACCAGGTTTTAAAAAATTCCAAGAGGGAAGTCCCCAACAGAGACTAACACTATAAGGGGGTCCCATAGGCTGTAAACAGCACGGGTCGGTCCATAGCAAAGAAAAGTTTGTGAACCCCTGAACTCCAACAAAAACTGTTTACATTAATGAGTGAAAAAATCTGCGAGAAATACTGCATAATAACATTTATTATAAAATATGTATTTAAATTCAAGAGGCTGAAAATCAAAATATATAAAAGAAGCTCAAACTTAAAAATACATTTAAAAATATCTGGCCATAATCTACGAGTATTTAGCCTACACATTACCAAAATAGAACAATATAAACGTCCAAAATCAACTACATTAATTACTTTATTAATTATTACTGTAATATTTACAGTTTATGCTACAAACACAGTTATTTGCTGTGTCATAGCTGCAACGAGTTTTATTGTGAAAGGCAACACCGGAACAGCATGTTTTCTGTTTCAGCCAGTTTGACGAGCCTTGAACATCGCGGGTGGAGTGACAGTGGGGAATCTGGCGGCGGTGGTACCACATCCTCCCGGCGTCACCCCGGACTCTGACCGGTGATAATCCCGCTAATATTAACCGGATAAAACGAGCAGCTGTCGGACTCTTCCGTCACTTCTTCTTCTACTCCTTTAAATCTTCCAGAAACTTCGTGTTTTTGGTGAAATAAGAGAAAAGATGAACGGGAGTTTGAAGCTAGCGGAATACGACTTCGAGCGACGTTTCGACGAGAGACGAGCTCTGGAATGGATGCAGGAAAACTGGTATGTTAACGAGAGAAAATAACATGAAGGAAATATATTTAATATGATAAATGTGATGTCTACCTGTCTCCATCTTTACCTGGAGACAGTGTTTGTCTGTGCTTCATGTCCTGTCAGGGTCTTTACATGATAATTAAGGCTGTTGTATCAGTACCAACATTACAAGTCTTAGGCACCACAATGTTGTATATTTCTGAAGTTTTATCACCTAAAAGAGCAGACAAACTACTGCTCTTTGTCAAAATGTGCACAAATATGATGCCAACTTTTAGACTGAGCTCTCACATCAGCCCACAGAAGCTTTTGGCTAAAATTAGTTCTGCAAATAAATTGCTTAATTCCCTATTTAATCGTGATTAATCACATTTTTTATGTGCATGTTTAAAATTCCATTATTTTGCATTTTAAAATACAAATTTCTATGCTTTTATTTTGAATTTATGTACTGCCTTCAACTGTACTTTAGAGAGTACTTTACTTTCTGTGTGCTTTTATTTTGAAAGAAAGTAAGGACCTTCTGGTAGAACAAGGTTACAACATTTGCATTAAAAGGATCCAGCTAAGGATCCCAAACTAAAACAACTCAAAGGGGTAACAAAGGTCAAAAGATCAACAAATGTGTGATGTCATAGGTCAATGTGTGATGTCATGAGGTGGATATTAATTTGGAGAGTTTGTTAAAGTGAAATGAGACATTCAAAGATGCAGCGGTGTCCTTCTTTTACATCACTGAGACTACAGGGAGACACTGAGGACCACTATCTACTATATCTGCAGATTTCATAGATCTAAGAAAGAAATCGGCATTCGATTTTTTCCCGTCCCCAATATCGATATCTGCATCGGCCCAAAAACGTCCATATCAGTCGGTCCCTAAACGCAACCTTAGTTCAGAAAAACTATGAATTGATGTGCTCTTATTCAAGCGTCCAACATGACTTCACCTTAGCTCCAACAGGTAACGAGTGGACATTATGAAAACTGAATTAGTGGCTGCATGCCAAATATGTTGGATCATTGCTGCTCAATAAAAACCACCTTTCCCTTTTGTCCAATTAAACGTCAGTAAAGAGGGAGTGACCGCACACACTCCGACACACAAACCTAGTCAAACCACATTTTTTTAAGACTCACTTCCATGAGGCCGTACAAGAGTGAAACTAAATACAGCTGTGTTTCTGCTACAGGAAGAAAGGGAGACTCATAATGCTGCACACACACACACACACACACACACACACACACACACACACACACACACACAGTGCGCACAGCAGGAAAGATGTTGTCAAATTTTGGGATTACTAGTTGAATAATAAAAGGGAAACATGGCGGTGGTTTTTGCATAATGTTTGCGGCTCAGGCAGCGTGCAACTTTGCTGTAAAAGCGCTTTCTTCTTCTTCTTCTTCCAGTCAGCTTGTTCATCCTCCATGGAGCAGTTAGATTTTCATCTCTCTCGTTGTGGGACGTTGTGGCAGAACATGACATGTAACGTTTGAACACATTCTAAATCTAGAGTATTTGTTTTTGATTTTTTTTAAATCAGTATTAGGTATGGCTGTTTCTGTTTCATGCACACATGGTCTGTCTCTCCAACATCCAGTGTCCATCTGTTTGCTTGAGTTCTGTCATCACGTCGTCCAGCTGCTGTAATTGAAATAGTATCAGTGATTGTAGATAATCCAGGTGGTGCAGAGCCAGGATCTAATAAACTCTTCACCCAGAGCCGGGACTCTAAATGGTCAGTGTGTCAGCCAAATATCTGTAAAACCTCTCCTCTGATTTCTAGACTGAGAGTTGACTTATTTTAACGCTCAGTTATTCACAGAGTTCATGTTCAGTGTGTACCTGACACATCGCCCCTGAGCACAGACAGTCAGAACATGTCATGTTTGCTCTGAATCGGCTGTTGTCTGGTCTGTTCCCCCCTCATTGTGTAACGTTTTTATGTAACCGCACTAATCATCTCGTGTTTCAGGGTCTGACTGAGGGTGATTGAGAGCCTTCCCCTTCCCCTTCCTGTAACCTGATAGAGGTCAGAGTACATGTAGGAACAGTACAATTATCTCTGCAAATTGTAGTTCCCACAAAAGAGCCGGTGTAAATGATGGGTCTTATCAATTTATAGCAGACAGAGGTGCTGGGTGTTTATGATCTGCACACGGCTTTATTGTGCCTGATAAGCTTCCATCCATCTTTTATCTCTAACGCTTTAGCTGTTTGCAGGGGGGCGTGGGGGGTGGGAGCTGATCCCAGCTGTCATTGGGCCAGAGGCGGGGTACACCCTGGACTGTTCACCAGTCAGTCACAGGGCTTTTTTAAAATAATGAATTCAACATTTTGTCTATGACGACCTTAAAATATAGGACTAGCAGAAAGGTCACGCCCCATGTAGGGAGGCTATAAAACTCAAAGCGGGAAAATCTGACCTGTGGCTCATCTCTCTCCCTCCGATTTCCTACTCTATACACTGTCCTTTCAAAATAAAGGTATCAAATCCCAAAATAAAATCTTTTTTTAAAAATTCCCCTTCAGTGACGTCTTCAAATTGCATCTTTAATCCAACCAACATTCACAAACTCTTTCTGTACTGTCATAAACGTCAAACAGACGAAGCTGACAAAATAAATAATTTGACATTTTAGTTTAAAATAAATATCACAGAATAATAACTGAGTTAGGGCTGGGCGATATGGATATCTTGGTATTGTTTAGTTGAATGTCGATATGTATTTTATTAACAGTGAAAACACATGGAAAAATAAACTACGTGTTTGTGAATTTAAAAAGTAATATTATAAAATAAAAATGTTCCTTAAATACAATAAAAGAGAGAGAGAGAGGAGGAGCAGGGTGAAGAGGGACAGACAGTCAGTCATCATCAGTGAAATGAGAAAAAGGTGACCTGACACCTCTGTAACGTTATTTTAATGCAACTTAAACTATATCCATATTAACAATATTGTCTTACTCTATATCTTGTTTGAAAATTTGTCGATATATCTTAAAAACTCGATATATTTCCCAGCTCTAAACTGAGTATGCAAATAGTCGGCGATGAAGATTCTTTGGATCACCATACTCAATAATAATCTAAGATCAGAGTATTCCAGGATTGTTCTGATTGACTTTAACGTTTAATGCATATCAAACATCGGAGGGAACAACGCATTACGCATTGTCGCTCTCAACTTGATTAGCCATTTCAGACATTTAAGAAAAAGTTTGTTTAGGGCGCCGGATAGCAAACGCTATATACGGACTGTATCAACGGCCGTGGGTTTGAGCCTGACCTTGGTCCTATGAATCCGACCGCGATAACTTTCAGTTGTGCTAACAAGGCTGCATGGTGGTGTAGTGGTTAGCGCTGTTGCCTCACAGCGAGGAGGTTCCTGGTTTGAATCCCCATCTGTCAGGAGTCTCTCTGTGTGGAGTCTGCATGCTCTCCCCAAGTACTCCGGCTTCCTCCCACAGTCCAAAGACATGCTCGTTAGGTTAACTGCTGACTCTAAATTGTCTGTAGGTGTGAATGTGAGTGTGGCTGGTTGTCTGTCTCTATATGTCAGCTCTGTGATTGGCTGGTGAACAGTCCAGGGTGTAACCCCACCTCTCACCCAATGACAGCTTGGGGTCAGCTCCAGCACCCTACAACACCGAACGGAAAAGGTGGTATAGATAATTGATTGATGATGTGCTGACGAGTGTTGTTTTTCTTCTTACAGGAGCAAAGGCTTCATGTTCTGTGGCCTGTATGCTGTGTTCGTGTTCGGCGGTCAGCACTTCATGAGGGAGAGGCCGAAGCTGAACCTGCGACGCCCGCTGGTTCTGTGGTCACTCAGCCTCGCCATCTTCAGGTGAGTCACTCACGCTGCCACAAATAGTTGTTGACGGCAACACGCTTTATCGTGTCCTATTGTTTACGGTGAGAAGGCAGACTCAGAGGGCAGAACAAACACCTAGCTGTGGGAGTATAACCCACCTGGGGGAGGGGCTACTGCCCTTTGTGATGTCATGAAGGGAAAAGAAAAGAAAAGACGGAGAGGATGGACTTTTCTCATCATTGGGGGGTTTGTAGACGGATTAGAGACATAATAGAGAAACATGGGGAAGTGTTTTTTGCATTTTCTGTGACCTTTAAATCGCGTGTTTAACTGTTTGCATGTGGTGTGTTCACTCTGCAGTATCATAGGAGCTCTGAGGACAGGATTGTACATGGTTCACGTCATCTCAAACAGCGGCTTCAGACAGTCTGTGTGTGACTCCAGCTTCTACAGCGCCCCCGTCACCAAATTCTGGGCCTACGCCTTCGTTCTCAGCAAAGCCCCCGAGCTGGGTAAGTCTTTCTCTTTCTCTTTCCAGATTAGGTGATTTGTATAAAAGCTCAAAAAGTCTGAATTTGGATGAAAAGTTGTTTTCAGATGATTTGGAAGATGAGTTTTTTCTAACACTGACGCGGGAGCAGCAGATATTTTGACAGACTTCTCACGTCACCCCTGCAGGATTATTAACATGCAGTACCGCACATAAACTTTCACCTTGGATGATTGGATGAATCAACTCTTCTCCTGAGCTATGCTTCTCAGAGCTGTTACTGTAAACTTTCCAGTAAATCTATCAGCAAACAATTACTTTAAGAGCTGCTGCCTCGCTGTCTGCAGGCTCATCTGATTTCCTCCGCTCTCTGGGAAAATGGAGGCTGGAGATGCTGAAGTGGCAAGAAAATTCCACTAGTGAGAGATTGATGCGGACTTTTATTTCCTCAGCTGCAGAGGGCGAAGAGTGTCTTCATCCCTTCATTGATCAGTTCATTAGTTTAACATCGAACAGGCCACAGTGTTAATGTGTTAATGAGCCTTAGGGGTGTGCGGTAAACCAGTATCAATACCGTCAGCGTTATTACATTCTGCCACAACGTGGATGTTTGCCATACCGCCAGCCACAGCGGTGGGTAAATACAAGTTGGCTCAGATTGAGTCGTCCGGTCTTCTGCATGTTTTGTGCTCTGACAGTCACAGCAGAGCCAGCAGCTCACTGATCAAACGGCACCGCCCCCTCCCTGTGTCAGAGCGGGTGTCAGTGTTTAAAATGAAAGTGAATTATCAGGATCAGGTAAACTTGTGTTCTCTCCTCTCCAAGTTTCAGCAAATAACAGCAACATAAAGTGTGTGTGCATGTCTCTTTGGGTCTGTCATATCGGGAAATGTGGTGTTTTCAGCAGCAGAATAATATAACTCTGCAGGTGAGAAACAAAACTTCAGTCAGAAGCAACTGAGATCTAAAGACGGTGACTATTAAAAACATCTGTCTCAGGTCTCACTAAAATTAGTTGGGTATCACATCGAGCTTCTTTGAGGGGGAGAAAGTGGGGTCTTAGTGTGTGAATATATGTTCATTCACGGAATCCTTTTTATATTGTTATGATATAATACTGTAGCCAGAAAAGGCTAAAAATGTAGCGTGATATGAGTCTGAGGTCAAGTCGCTCACCTCTAATGAGCCCAATAAATCAGACATGGAGGTAATAATGATTAGTCACAACTTGAGCCTTAAAAAAAAGTCAATAATTGGAGACAACCCTCGATGATATGCATTTTATCAGTCCCTTCTCTTTGCTTTTTTAAGCTCATTGTGCACAAAGAAATGCAAGAATAACTTCACTAACCGAGTATTTTTCTTCTACTACAACAGAAGTCGCCTCCTTTGCAAAAACAGATGTGTCGCCGCAGTGGCTTTTTGGGCAGCTGTCTCTAACTTTGTTCTTCATCCAGTCAAAAATCTTAAAATGCTCATGCTAGTCCTATAGTGACTTGACTTGTTATGATAGACATCTGTTGAAAATATTTGATCCTTGAAGTGATGATTGAGGACTGAGAGATTACTTCAGGAGTGGTGACAGGCAGGGGTGGAGCAGCGATTTTAAAAGTGTGGGTGTTCTAATGCTAGTATATAACCGCCCTCTAGCAAATCACCACATTCTGTTTCATTTAATGACCAATAACTAACGTTAGCTGACACATCATACAACAAGACAAAGTTACAAAAGATAATAATTAGACACTAACTTTATGAACATCCATTGTGAGTAACCCAGAACTGCTCTTTGTGATGCTTTTATTTTTCTTTTCTTATTGCCTTACGCCTCAGTCTCTTTATTTCCAGTCTTCAAATATAATGTGCTTTTATTTTGAAAAACTGCAAAGGGGACTTCTGCTACATCGTAAAGTTACGGGAGTAAATAAGTACAGCGATTTTAAAAGTGTGGGTGTTCTAATGCTAGTATATAACCGCCCTCTAGCAAATCACCACATTCTGTTTCATTTAATGACCAATAACTAACGTTAGCTGACACATCATACAACAAGACAAAGTTACAAAAGATAATAATTAGACACTAACTTTATGAACATCCATTGTGAGTAACCCAGAACTGCTCTTTGTGATGCTTTTATTTTTCTTTTCTTATTGCCTTACGCCTCAGTCTCTTTATTTCCAGTCTTCAAATATAATGTGCTTTTATTTTGAAAAACTGCAAAGGGGACTTCTGCTACATCGTAAAGTTACGGGAGTAAATAAGTACAGCTAAAATAACAATCAAGAGGAGAAAATGTTACACACAGAAGGATGCTACATGTAGCATGTATCCATTTGTTAGCTCTGAACTCTGACTCAGTGATGAGTGACAGGAGGATTAAATGCATGTAACTTTACCGTGCTGCAACTGTAACCAAACAGCTACGATTGGCTTAATTGTCACTTAATAAATACTTACCAATAGGTTTTCATCAATGACTCCACTGGTAAAAAGTGTGGGGGATGAAATTATGTTTCAGTGAAAGTGTGGGTGTCACAACACCCGCAACACCCACAACACCCGCAACACCCGCAACACTCACAACACCCACAACACCCAGGTAAAGCAGCTCTTGATGTCCTCTCTTTATGCAAATGCATCAACATGTAGTTTGATGACTGGAAGGGGACTTGATACAAATATATCCAGGGTGTTTATTTTGTTATATTGCCTTTTCCAAATCAAATTATGTCAATAAGAAAAAAACATTATTTGATGTCTAACTGTCGATGTTTTTGAAAACTCTGATACTCTTCAGCCGTGTTACTTGTGAATGACCTCCTGACCCTCCTCCGCCTCTCTCAGGTGACACAGTGTTCATCATCCTGAGGAAGCAGCGCCTCATCTTTCTGCACTGGTACCACCACATCACCGTGCTGCTCTACTCCTGGTACTCTTACAAGGACCAGGTGGCGGGCGGCGGCTGGTTCATGACCATGAACTACATCGTGCACTCTCTCATGTACACGTACTACGCGGCCCGGGCGGCCGGCCTGCGGGTACCCCGGGTCTGCGCCATGATCATCACGGCCACACAGATCACGCAGATGGCGGTGGGTCTGACCGTGCTGGGTCTGGTGTACCGCTGGATTCACGAGGTCAACTGTCCGTCCAACATGGACAACATCACGTGGGGCTCGCTCATGTACCTCAGCTACCTGGTCCTGTTCGCCTTGTTCTTCTACAACACGTACCTCAGAGGCTCCTCCGGGGCGAAAGGATCCAAGGCGGAGTAGCATGTTTGTTCCAACAGCGAGGGGCCGTGAGCGTGTGAGTCACAACTAATTAACTGGCCCCTCCTCTTTTATGACATCATCACTTGACTTTTTATGGAAATCTGAAGCTAAAATCAGCGACTAATATCTGGATTTAGAGCGGCCAGTTTAATATGATGTCATCATTACTACAGCAAGAAGGGGCGTTATATTTGACTAACATAGTTCTCACTTCTTTAAATGATTGCCTTCGTTATTTTCAACTTTTGACCAGCAACAAAAAAAAGCTGTGCAAGGGCAAAATATGTCAGAAGTGGTAACCGATTTTGTTTTTTTTTTCTTGCAAACTTTAAAGCTCTGAAATATGTTTTTAAAAAAAAGGGAATTTTACAAAATGAAGGAATAGTTCAACATGTTGGTGAACGCAGGAGCTGCAGTCGAGACGCATTTAGTAAAGCTGAGCATGAAGTGGACGCTGTGGGGAAACCCGCACCAGTTTGTTACTAAACAGAAGAAAAAGTGCCTCAGAGGTTAGAGTGAGTTAAAGTCTTTATGTGTGATTCTTTACACTTAAATGTAGAAATCAAGTATATCCTCTGAAAATAACTCTGTGAGTCATGACTGTCTACAATGGGTGTAACACCCGAGTCCCACTGTCTGTGATGTTTTCAGAGTTTTCAGAGTCCTATCTTCACTTTGTTTACATCGCCCGGACGGCCGGCTGACTCCTCCCCTCGTGTATAAAAGTTGTTTAATTGAGGGACTAGAGAAAAGAAGAATAACATACTGTACTCACTGCTTAACTGTGTTTCTAGATCACGCTCATTCCAGGTAAATTTACATGCAGTGTAAAGATACCAGCATAATAAAGATCGCTAGCATTAGCATGCTAACACAACAATGCAGCGTGAGTTGTTTTGGTTTCATGCTGGTGCTCAAGGGCGACATCTGCTGGATCAAAAAATCACATATAAAGCCTTTAAAAGATGTTTCTGTTATCCCTAAATAACATCGTCCTGATGAGCTCGTCTCAAATAACAAACAGGAGGTGGAAGGCTAGTTTCACAAACCCTGAAGGGGGCAGAAATGTGTGAGCCATCTGTTGTGTGACCTCAAACACTGAGCAGAGATACGGTGGTTGAACAGGTTTTTAGTCTGTTTTACCAAATTCAGGGAGGACACTGCAAATTGCCGTCAAAAGGTACAAAAGGAATGCGTTCACTTCAGCAGATTGCTTTAAACAGCAGCTGTAAAAAAACTAGCTTTAAAAGTTGCAGTGTCATTTATGCAGGAAAATGATCAGAGTGCACTAGAGGTCTCATTTTCTGCCACTGAGAGTCTCAGACTGTTGTTTGAAGTGTCTAAAAACATTACAGAGAGGATCCTTGCACTGACTCACCTTTGTAACTACGTAAGATTCATTATTTTGAAACCAGAAACAGGTGTTATATCTCTCTGTTCAAAGCCACCAGACTCCCTTGACAAAAAGAGGATTTTTACTTTGGAGCGTTCTGGAGTTGCTGATCTACTGCTGCCAAGTTGTTTTACTTTGTGTCTGTGATTGTGTGATTTACAAATATGGTGTTTAACTGTTTAAGTGAACTTTTTAAAACACCAGAGTTAAAAAAAAACTCACCAGAGGTAGAACAGCAACTCCTGTGTCCTGAAAGTCTGGTGAGAATAATCTAAGGACTGTTTCTGATTTAAATAAAAATGATCTGATAGAAATGAAACAGTCGATCTCTAAGGCCGGGGTGCTTTCAGTAATGGCTGGCTCGCTCCCCTTTCATCCAGTCTTCATGCTAAGCTAACCACGTCTTGACTCCAGATCTGCATAATGGTGCGTTCCATTGACCTGTGAACTCGGGTCTCGGAGCTGGGGATTACCTCACAGGTCACACCCGAGTTTACAAGTTGGTATCAAGTCTGACAAGACACACGTACGCCTCCAGGAGTACCTTTGTTTTGTTAGCTAATACCAGGCGATAACGACACACTACGGGATAGGACTCAACTGGAACGCGGTTAACTCGGTGTGACATCATCCCCAGCTCCAAGATCTGAGTTCCTATGTAAATGTAACGCACCATTAGAACTTCAACATTTGAGCTGACATTAGTTTCTCAGCGTGATTAAAGGCAGCAGATCAGGGCATTGGTGTAAATGTTGAACTATTCCTTTAAAGTGTTTTTTTTTTAAGCCCCAACACTGTGACCTGAAGGAGAGAAAAAGGGAACAAAGACTTCATAATGCACTGACTTAAGAAGGGTGTTGTAGCACCTTCAGTTTGAGGGCTTACCATTCATAACAACAAGCACTACACCCTACACCCTATACATACTACACTCTACAAGCACTACACCCTACACCCTATACATACTACACTCTACAAGCACTACACCCTACACCCTATACATACTACACTCTACAAGCACTACACCCTACACCCTATACATACTACACTCTACAAGCACTACACCCTACACCCTACAAGCACTACACCCTACACCCTACAAGCACTACACCCTACAAGCACTACACCCTACACCCTATACATACTACACTCTACAAGCACTACACCCTATTCATACTACACTCTACAAGCACTACACCCTACACCCTACAAGCACTACACCCTACACCCTATACATAGTACACTCTACAAGCACTACACCCTACACCCTACAAGCACTACACCCTACACACTACAAACACTAAACCCTACAAGCACTACACACACTTAACCCTACATGCACTTCACTCTAATGCACCCTACATGCTCTTCAGCCTGCTACACCCTAAACACACAACACCCTACTACACACACTTGACCCTACACCCATTGTTTACACATGTAGCTCTGAAGCTGGAGGCAAAGTGTTCAGTGACACACGACAGTTTATCACGACACACTAAAAGAGCAGATATTCCTGCTCTCTCTCTCACACACACACAATCTGCCTGAAGATAACATCTGAGTGAAGAAAAAACACGTTCTTCGACTGACAGATAAACTTCCAGAGGTCGGGTTGTGTAAGAGGTTGAACCTGACCTTTTCTTTTCTACTGTAACAAAAAAAAAAAAGGCACGTTTACACACACGCACGATCTGCCTTCTTCTTCTCCCTCTGAGAACTGTCACTGGACAAAACAATCCTCTGTTCCTTTATCCTCTGAATGTGGTCAGTGTGATAATCTCTGTGTGAAGAAATGTATGGACTGCTCGGTCTGTCAGATTTGTGTCTTTTGAGTTGTTGACTTGCATTCCCTCCTTGAAGAAGTGAACGTTTTCTGTAGTTCACAAGAAGAAAAAACATGTTCAGATATTCTCTGTCAGTACGACTAAACATCTCACACTAATCCTCTTTAAGCCGTTTCTATCAGGACCCTGGGGACCCCCTAGTTTAAAAAGATTTCTTTAGAGGCAATGGTTTTTCTTTTTTTTGCAAACCAATTAAATGTGAGGGAGAAGAGGGAATTGTTGTCTACACAGATTAGTTTTTAATACCACAAAAATGTCAGTTTGTGTCCCTTATTTATCTACCTTATACTCTTTATCCTTAGCTAAACGACACAGTTAAACACCCTGCAGTGTTGTAGTACTTGAAATCGGTCTTGAGGATTTTTGAAGGTCTCGACCTCGTCTTGATCTCTCCAAAGCATTTTTACTCGGTCTTGTCTCGGTCTCAGACTGGACTCCAGATTTTAAATCAAGACGGGTCAAGACCACCACTGAGAGGCTATGTTTCCACATCATTACTGTGATTAGAAGGAAAATCTCTCTTTTTAAAAGAACAAATAACTTGAATTTGTAGTTTGATTTTTAACCCCCCTACCCCCCCGTTAAGGCCAAAACCTTCCCTGTGTTACGGTCTAAGTGAGTGACACGCCCCCTGCACACAAGATGAGGATTTTTCACTGATATTTATGGTCTTGGTCTTGTCTCGGTCTTGCCCTGCCCTGGTCTCGGTCTCGTCTCGGTCTGGGAGCACTCTGGTCTCGGTCAGTGTTGGTCTTGACAACAACACTAACACCCTGTCCTCTCTCTGTTTTGTTAACACTAACATTTAAAAACACCCAGCACAAACTGTAGATCCATGAGGGTGCAGCAGATGATTAGGAAACGACTGAGCTATTATTAGATTTAATAAGAATCGTCGGCACTACAAACAAACCACTAACCACTGAGGAGGTGATTTATTCTGCCCTCAATGACAACACACACTTCATAATAACGTGTCCACTGTAAATAACAAGAATATTTATTTTCTTACATAAAACCACATTCTTACACGGACCTGAAAAGTATGGTACCTTTTTCCGTCCATATTTCATGTTTTTTTTTTAATCCTCACATCTGCTGACAAACTCATCTCTACACTTTTTTTTTTTTTTTAAGCTCTTCTTGCAAAGAGCTGGAGGATAAACCATAGAGCCATTCAGACTCAATGTTGGAAATTAGATTAGGTCACTGTGTGTGTTTATTGTGATGCTTAACTTTCATTCCGTCCTTTCTGCCTTCATATCCTGTTTTGTTTTTTTTACGTCAGCGCACATAACTGACCTCGTCTGTGTGAGGCAGCAGTTTGTAAATGACCACTACGAGGGATGAAGTGAATCTGCCGGGGCGTTGAACCACTGTTTCTTGAATTTACTACTTCAAATCCTTATGATTTGTGTGCCATATAAACATTTTATTTTCTATCATGGATAAATATGAGCCCAGCTGTGTTGGTCTGTCTCTTAAAATGTCATGCTAACGTCACAAACACTGATTTCATCCTGTGGATTCTCCCTTTGACTGCAAATGGAATAAAACTGTTTAGAGGGCTTTGTTGTTAAAGTGTGAAAATAAAAACATTCTGGTTTTAAAATGTCTCACTTGATTTTTTCAGTGTGTTTGCTCGGTTATCATGTCAGAGAGAGAATGAGAATGTTAGAAGACCGTAGATCGAGTTCTTCAAAGGTCACATATTCTGTAAAATCCTCTTCTCCATGTTCCTCTAACTCTAATATGTCTCTAGTCCGTCTACAAACCCCCCAATGATGAGAAAAGTCCATCCTCTCCATCTTTCACCTGCTCCACTTTTCAGAAAATGTGTGCTCAAACAGGCCGTTTGGAGATTTTCCCTTCATGACATCACAAAGGGCAGTAGCCCCTCCCCCAGGTGGGTGACACTCCCACAGCTAGGTGTTTGTTCTGCCCTCTGAGTCTGCCTTCTCACCGTAAACAATAGGACATGGAGCGAGACCGAGTACACCCAAGCCCTTCCAGAGAGGGGGGCGTGGTCAGACACGGCTCATTTACATATTTAAAGGTACAGACACAGAAACAGTCTGTTCTGAGCAGGGCTGAAATAGAGGGGTTTCTAGACATGATCAAATACAGGATCAGAGTGGATTTAGAACAAGAAACTTCACAAACATGTTTTGAGGAGCTCTGAGACTTATTTACACTGAAGAAGAGGAGGAGGAGATGTCACCTTTAACTATTCATCATAACTATCTCAGAAATAGTACTTTAGGTTTCTGTCCACCTCATCATGTTCTCTAAAATACAACTCTTAAAACTACGCTAACTAAAACTACCACTAAATCATCTATCCATGCATTTTCT